GCAGCGAGAGTGAGAGAGAGAGAGCAGCGAGAGTGAGAGAGAGAGAGCAGAGAGAGTGGGAGAGAGAGAGCAGCGAGAGTGGGAGAGAGAGAGCATCGAGACTGAGAGAGAGAGAGCAGCGAGAGTGAGAGAGAGAGAACAGCGAGAGCTGGAGAGAGAGAGCAGCGAGACTAAGGGAGCGAGAACAGCGTGACTAAGGGAGCGAGAACAGCGTGAGTAAGGGAGCGAGAACAACGGAAGGTAGAGAAAGAGAAAGAAACTTGCTGTGGTGGCCTAGTAGCTGTCCCCGGATGACTGCTAAAAACTCACCATTGCGTGGGGTGGCTGATGATTGTTGAAAACCCCTAGTGCGTGAATCGGTTGAATTGTTGATTAATCACTGAAACGTACTAACGCGTGATACCAATTGTCTGTTGGAACTCCTTGTTGATCGAAGCTGCTAAATTACAAAAAGGAAGAAAGAGAAAATAGGGAGCGTGACAGGGCACCCCCGACTTCGGTGCCTGCCGGTCGCTGAAGACCTCGGAACGGGCGCGGCGAGTGACAGGCGCCGTAGCCCTTGGCTTCAGCGAACGGTAGGCGCCCCTCGCCGGGTTTCCTCACGACTTTGGCGCCGTTGCCGGGGAGGGGAGCAGCACCCCCAAGGCCGCGGCCTTCCCCAACCAACGGGGGTGCACGGGCTGATTAGTCAAGCACTAATTAGCCCATTTCCTTGATTAGTTTCAATTTTGGTATTTTTGAATTAGTTTTTTTTCGATATCTCCCGATCCGCGCGCTTTTGCGCGAGGCGCGCCGGGAGCAACGTTCGACCTCTCGTCGAGGCGAACGTTTTGAGACATTTTTTGATAAATTCTAACGGCTAGAAAAAGAGATATGAAAATTTTTGTATTTTCTAATTAAAAATTCTCAAAATCATGAGTTTAAATATTTAATTCGTTTTTTTCAATATCTCCCGATCCGCGCGTTTTTACGCGAGGCGTACTGGGGAGCAAAGTTCGACCTCACGTCGAGGCAAACGTTTTGAGACGTTTTTTGAGAAATTCTAACGGCTAGAAAAAGAGATATGAAATTTTTTGTATTTTCTAATTAAAAATCTTCAAAATCATGAGTTTAAATATTTAATTCGTTTTTTTTTTATATCTCCCGATTCGTGCGTTTTTGCGTGAGACGCACTGGGAGCAAAGTTTGACCTCTCGTCGAGGCGAACGTTTTGAGTAGTTTTTTGAGAAATTCTAATGGCTAGAAAAAGAGATATGAATTTTTTTGTATTTTCTAATTAAAAATTTCCAAAATTATGAGTTTAAATATTTAATTCGTTTTTTTTTCAATATCTCCCGATCCGCGTGTTTTTACGCGAGGCGCACAGGGAGCAAAGTTCGACCTCTCGTTGAGGCGAACGTTTTGAGACGTTTCTTGATAAATTCTAACGGCTAGAAAAAGAGATATGGAAGTTTTTGTATTTTTCTAATTAAAATTCCGAAAATCATGAATTCCTTTTATTTTAATTACGAAGAAAAGAAGCGAAATTAGGTGAACCCTCCTGGGACCAAAGTTGGTCCTTGTATTTTTCCCGACATTTTGAGACCTTAGTTGGGGAAAACGGACTCCGTTTGGACGGGTAGTGACCGCCAACAGACAGGAAAAGAAGGGAAAATTAAAAGGAAATAGTGATTTTYTTTGTATTTTTTTATAAAAATAAAACGGAAACAGAAGTCTGTGGCAAAAGTGATCCGAGGGAACCCGGCTTTTAATTGACTACAAACCGACGGAAAATTTTATGTCTCGAGAAGTTGTACGCGGCGGCGTGCGGTGA